ATTCTTTGAAACCATTGTCTTTTTCACTTTTTCTTTTACAGATATTGTACTCCAAGACATTTAGATTTTGAAGACTTAGAACGTAAATACTGGAAAAATTTAACTTTTGTGGCACCAATCTATGGAGCAGATATTAATGGAAGCATATATAACGAAGTAAGCACATTATTTGTATCCTCCTAAGCTGTCTAATATTATATTATTTTCACTACAAATAAGAAACATAAATTGAATATAGCTATGGTCCATTTCTTTTGAGTGCAGGTATATTTTATGAAATGAGCTTATAGCCTGTATTCATTTGGATGTTTTAAATATAAAATAGATAAGCACAAATTTATAGTAAATATTAAGTCTTTAATTGGGTCATGCATTATTGTGTTTTCTTTGAAAGGAATAAGCTAATAATCACATCCTTATGATGTCATATCTCAATAATCATTTACATATTGTGTAAGTGGCAGATGTCTGTAAAATATTTTCCTTGTGCCTTCAAGTCAGTCATGATTCCTGGTGACTTTATGGACAACTCCCTGCAATTTTGATAGATGGCATAATTATGGGAAATTGGGTTAAAAGATTGACAGAAGAAAGTAATAAAAAAAAAGAATAATGGAAAGCATGTAGGAGATACTAGGTTATTAGCATGTCTTTATACATGTCTCATCAGAAATTTGACACTTCTCAGGTAAATGTAGCCACATGGAAACTGAAAAAGAGCAGATTGAAGGATAAATAGCCAGTTCTGTCTCAGACTAATGAAGTATGTTCTGACACCTGTGGCTTTCCAGATATTCTAATCTGAAAAGCACTTTGGTTATTTCTTTATCAGCCACCAGATGGTAACCTTGCACAAGAATAGATATCATTAGTATTATCTGCTGTTAACGGAAATCTGTTCTAAATTTAGAATCATGATCTCCCATATTTATTCACATTAGGGATTTTCATATATTCAACAATGATGGATGAAATACAAGCTTAGAAATGAGGCAATGGAAGCAAAGAATAGGGAAGAAAACAGTTCATAGTGTTCCTACAACTCACAAGAAACCATATGTGAATTGTTTTATTAAGAATAAAAGTAATTCAGGTATCTAAATGGAAGCTACTTATTTTCTATAATAAATCAACACTGTTACTTTATGAAGCTTCAATTAAAAAATGAGGCTACAATATATGTATTTTGGCATTTAGTGTTTTGAAGAAGGCATTGAATATGTAGGGCAAAT